GCCCGCCGTGGCGCGGAGCCCCACTCACACAGCGCCTCATCGTTGCCTTCAGGCTCAGCAGCAGGTTGCCCAGGTCGCCCATGCTCTGCTGGTGGTGCGTGCTGGTCCTCATGGCGCTGGGCAGGACCTCCTCCATGTAGAACCGCATCATCTCCGACACCGACTGGCAGCCGAAGCTCCCCTGGGCGAGCCCGCCGTGGCGCGGAGCCCCACTCACACAGCGCCTCATCGTTGCCTTCAGGCTCAGCAGCAGGTTGCCCAGGTCGCCCATGCTCTGCTGGTGGTGCGTGCTGGTCCTCATGGCGCTGGGCAGGACCTCCTCCATGTAGAACCGCATCATCTCCGACACCGACTGGCAGCCGAAGCTCCCCTGGGCGAGAGGGGGGCAAACCACACGTGTTGCTGCTGGGCTGGAGAACTGCCCTTCTGTGGCACGAGGGGATGCCCCAGTTTGCAGTCTGCTTCCTTTCTTACAAAACGCTGACCGAAGGAGGAAGAAGGATAAGGGGCTTGGGTGAGAATTATGATTCTTACCTTAAATTCGTCCAGCAGTTCGGAGCTGAGCAACTGGATGCTAAGTTCATCATCTTTCGATTGCTGTCAAAGGATACAACGGGAACGTGAGCTTTGCTTAGGCAGGCAGTCAACGCTATTTTCCCTTGGCCCTACCAGCCGATCGATTCACTTGTTTGCATTTGTCGCCTCGCTGAAGCAACGGCAAGCAGCACCCAGCACACTGGCGTGCGTGGCACAGCAGCAGCGGACACGGCAGCCACCAATTCTTTGGTCCGTAATCTTGCCGTGCGAGTACCGTCAGGTCAAGGCAGCAAGATAACGAAATCTCAAACTTCAGTACCGTCGATTTCGTGGACGTGAAACTCCTCCGGCAGCTGCGGCTGCGGAGGGTGTGTGTGTAAGAGCGCTGATGCAAACCGCGCCGCTCTTCAGCGGCGTTGGCCACGTTATGGCAGCCTCTGAAGCGAGACACCCCCCCCAGCCTGTCCGGCCGCGGGCTCGCCGGGGCGGGAGGGTTTAATCCCCCCGTTTTTGTTACCCCTGTAAGTCTCCAGCCAACGGGGGAGCGGGGGTCTGCAGAGGGTGCTTGTTCTTGTGGTGCCTGTCGCACCGTCAGCTCTGGAAGAGCCGGGAGCTGCAGCGGGGTGGGCTGGCGCCAGCCAGAGCGTCACCCCATGGCACCAAGGCACCTCGAAGCTTTCCTGAGAGGGGAGGGTTTAATCCCCCCGTTTTTGTTACCCCTGTAAGTCTCCAGCCAACGGGGGAGCGGGGGTCTGCAGAGGGTGCTTGTTCTTGTGGTGCCTGTCGCACCGTCAGCTCTGGAAGAGCCGGGAGCTGCAGCGGGGTGGGCTGGCGCCAGCCAGAGCGTCACCCCATGGCACCAAGGCACCTCGAAGCTTTCCTGAGAGGTTAAAAACATGCCTTCCCAACGTTACCTGCGAGGTTTACAGCAAGCTTGGAACCTAAAGTCCTGACCGCGTTCGTTTGATAATAGGTACAGTCCATGACATTAGCCAGAGATTAAATAATTACCTTTTATTGCTAAGCCACACTGACGTTAACTAAAATAGCAACACAGATGCGACCAGCCATCCCTATCACTACTGGTGCAAGGACAAATGCCCTGAGCGTATCTTGTGCTGCTTTCTCAGCAGCCCCGTGGCTCCCGCCAGCTGTGATGCAAAGCGGTGACCTTTCACAGGCACCAAAGCTAGTGCTAGTTACCGTAGCTTTTCTCCAGTCATAAAATACCATGTCCAGGCTTTTGTGGTTCTTTCAAAGGAAAAGTCTGCAGCAAAAGATTTCCCTTTTCATCTAGTGTGGACTTCAGCAAGGCTGGACCTCGTTGCCCTGAAGGGACTATTTCCTTCCTATTAATTCAGTGAATAATTTGGTCTGCAACGTTTAGGAGGAAGTCTTCTGGCTAGTAAGGTTCACAAAGATTCATTATGAAATCTCTTGAGTTCATTCTAACTAAAACTAGGAAGAAAACCCTTGCACGTTGTCTCTCAGCGAGCAATGAAACCGAGCTTCTCTCGCTCACCCCATCAGCCCGTAACACGATGCACAACCAAATCATTTCTGTGGGAGGAAGCTGTCATCCAAATCCCTGAACTTTGCAAAAAAAGCAAAACGAGAAAGAGGAGAAGACTCGCAGCGTTGTACTTACAAAATAGTCCTTAATTTCCTCGAACTTGATCCTCAGCTCTTTGAGCTTTGCAGGCAGGGTCTCCGAGAAGTGGAGGCAGCCGGGCTCGGCGGGCGAGCACCGGGCAGGCAGGGTGCTGGCAGCCAGGAGCAGCAAGACCAGGGCTGAGCAGGTTTGCATCCTGTGAAAACCAGCTGCTTTCCTCCCCGTCCAGCTCTCTGCTGAACTTCGCAGGAGGGTAAAAAGCCGATCTGCAGCCTTCACCTTGATGGAGCCCCTAATTTATACTCTCAAAACATCACTGAATTTCCTCTCCCCATTTCCTGGCGAGCAATATTGGGGTTTTAAGACATTCATTAAAACCAAATGTCACTTGGGTTTCCCGTCAACTTGGGTTTCCTGTTCTCTTGACCCCCCTCCTCTCCTCACACCCCATCAAATCTTTTGTGCTTAGACTCTGCATTTTTTTTCATTGCTTGCTTCTTGTAAATTTGAATGTGGCTAAAGAGGAAAGCTTCAGATATAATCCGAAGAAGAAAAGGTGCTGTCTGAGGTTACTTCTGCATTCTCACAGCTACTTTTTATTTTTGGATGAATAACCTATTGTGAAGTGAAAAAGAGTGTTTCTATTTTTAAACCTCCGAATGAAACCTGCACTTAGGATCCCCAGCAGCATGCATAATTCAGCAGCATTGCTTTTGATGAACCTGCACAAATACGCCGCCTCCTTTGGCGTTCTAATGCTCTCCCGCAAATACACATCATAATCTTAGACCTTAATTATTATTATTTTTTCAGTTAATGCATATGTCTGCTGAAGTCAATGTGAATTTTCCCTGCCTCCAGCAAGCTGGAAGACTGTGTTCCCCAACTTCAGCTGGGGTCGTGCCTGACTGCCGACGGGATTAGTCCTGCGACGCGCCGGGATGCGGTGGAGGAGCCCGGCCGGGCTGGGACGCGCTGCTGCTCGGGTCGCTCGGGGCTCGTGCACGGCTGCCTGGC